CAGGCTGCCCAGGGAAGTGGTTGAGTCACCATCCCTGGAAGTATTTAAAAGGCGGGTAGATGAGGCGCTTAGGGACATGGTTTAGTGGGCATGGTGTTGTTGGGTTGATGGTTGGACTCGATGATCTTGGAGGTCTCTTCCAACCTTTAATGATTCTATGATTCTATGATTCTATGATTCCCCACCAACCCCTCGTTGTTGGTGAGAACAAGGTCCAGCATAGCACCTCTCCTCATTGGCTCCTCTGCCACTTGGAGAAGGAAGTTATCATCGACGCAACACTGACGCATCTTGTCCAACCCCCCTGCTCAAGCAGGGCCGTCTAGAGCCAGTTGCCCAGAATAATTGAGCAAAGAACCTGCTCTGTTGGGTCTTGGGGTCAGTGCTGGTTATAACTCTTCTCTGATGCAAGTTTTCATTAGCAGTAATCACAGAAGAACATGATGTTCCGGTACCATTCTTAAAGGGAACTGATAAGTTACCTGAGAATGAACTCACAAAACAGCAGAGTCAATACCTTCAACTGAAAAAATAAAGCAGCGGTAGTGTCAGTGGCGGGACTAAATGTGTTTGTTTTCCATAGTGCCTGAAGAACATTGGATGGGAGCTCAGCATGACATGAAGGGACCAGATGCCTCTTTCTTTGTTGAGCCACCAGGTAAAAATAGTTTTGACTTGATCTGCAGGAACTGTCTATAGAGAGTTTCTGAACAGCAGAAGCAGAGCTTCTCTTGTCTGCCTTTTCAAGAAACAAAAGGCACTAATGGAGTGAAGTGGGACCTGACCAAGAAAAACACTGTTTCTGGTTCTCAAATCAATTTAGAAGAAATGCGTGTTTTAGAGAGATGTTACTTAACACGTTTTCTGGTTTAGTGCTTTAAGGGGTGGGGAGAACCCTGCATTTATGTAGACAGTTTACTTCTAATTTAGGGTAACAAATTTAGTATATGCAGTTCCAAGTCCGCTGTCAGTAGATACTAGTGGCATGCCCTTTTAGGGCATATCATGTCGCAGGGCTTTAACCCACTGAAAATATGCCCTTTCATGGGTTTTGGGGAATTAAGTTAGCAGATGCAGATGTGTGCAAAAAAAATACGTTCAGTAGCAAGCTCTGTAGATTCCAGACTGTCTCCATTCTGTGCGTCTCCATTACAGTGAACGTACTTTAATTTCCAGTTGGGATGTGTGTTCAAGCATTACTTGACGCTAAAATAATAAATAGGGTGAATAAGATTTACTCTTGAAAAGAAACTCTAAAACTGGAACTTTACTACAGTCAAGGATTCTAGTTTTTGTACACACAGAGTCAAATCTGCTGACTTGAGTGGTAAGTCAGAGCACTTGTGTTTATTGCTTCTGAGCGTCGGTGCAGCTGAGGGCACCAACAAACATGATTTTGGCTCATGCATTATCAACAGAATTTTAAACTAAATTCTAATTGCAAACCTGTGTATTCTGTTCAATTATCTTTAGATTCTGGTTACAGTTAAATCTTTGAAGCTCCACTGAGACAAAATTCTGTTGTGGTTGCATGTATATTACAATACTTGATCCATAATGGGATCTTTATTGCCAATTTTGGTGAACAAGCAAAGAAGAGAGTAGTTTAACACTGGTCTTAGGTAGAAAGTGTTTCTGGAGCTGGTGGCTCTACCTAGGGCTCAGGCTAGAACTGGGATGCTTTGTAACTGAACGTTCCTCGATTTTTGTCACAGCAGTTGCTTCTCTCAAGATACAAGTGTTTTCCTAGGCATTACACAAACTAGTCTTCTGAAAATTGAAAATAAAAACTGATTCTCTTTTGGTCTGATCCTACTGAAACGCTGCATCGGAGGAGCTTACTCATCAGGGTTGCTGCTGCAGGCAGCACAGACCAGGCAGCACCTTGAGAGGGTGATTCACATCCTGGCAACTCCAGAAGAGAAAGCTGTTTGCTATGATCTGAGTGCTTAATCAAACTTCGTTTTGTATGCCCAGTGCCCCCCATGGTGACTGAAGCAATAAAGCCGAATTTGCCGGAAAGCCCTGCAGCAGTGGCTCCTGGTTTTGTTCCTACTGCAGTAACAGCATCCCTAGGAGAGGCTGAAGCTACTGATGGACCAAAAGATGCAGCATCAGGTAAAGTTGCCTCAGTCTAAAGATTGGTGCTGGGTTTAGGCCCTTCATGAGCAAGCTGTAATGGTGGAAGAAGACCTGGGATTGCCTCTTCTGGAGGAAACACAGCAAGGTATTAACAAATTCCATTGTGGCTAAAGGTTTATGATACCTGAGTTGTCTTGGTGAGAAATAGCAAGTCTACTTACCTGACTTTTCAACTCTTGTGTGACAGTCCAATAACTGATTTAATGATTCTTTAATTTCTCAAAATTTTAGCTCCAGAAAAATGTTAAGGTGTGTCAAGAACGTGGTTATACCACGAGTCTGATGCTATATATAAATACCTTGAAAACTCTCCGCTTTAAATACTCTCTTTAAAACAGAGTTTTTAAGGTATTTATATACAGCATCAGACTCGTGGTACATTTGGCACCAGTCTTTGGTTTCTTTATGCTTTATTCCAGTACTTTCCATGATTCACCAGGAAACATCCATACTGCTTTTAATATCCATTTCTTTACTGTCTTTTTCTTCTGTAAAATCACAGTCTTTAAATTTTATTTCGGAGAGGATCATGATATCACTTAAAAAAAAAAAAAGGCAAAACCAAATGAAAGCTAGTGCATAATGGATCTTTTTGGTTTGGTTCACTGGAATATTGGTTTTATCTAAATGGGTCCTGAATTGCTATTTTAAAAGGGACTTTTTCAGTTTTTCCAATTTCTTTCCTTATTCAGTTTAAGTATCTTAAATTAAGATTTAATGTATTTTTCCATTGTTTGGGGAGGATATTTTTAGATATGACTCAAACAATGGGTAGAAATTTTTTTTTAACATCTACTCAGCAATATATCTGAGATGTTCAGGTCACCACGCTGCATCACACAGAGTATGGGTAGTGCTTGGGGCTGTTGAAATTAATAGCTGCAGAAGAGAAATCTAGTGCTTCTGGCTTTTGATAATTGTAAAAACTCGCCTCTAGACAGCTGAAATATTAAACTAAAACTGACTGAAAAAACTCCTTTAAGGGGATCTTATGAAAATGCTAACTTAAATGCAGAGGTTTGACTGTACTGTGAACTGACAAATGTTATTTTGAAACTAACAACTCAGTGTTTAGTAGCTATTATGTAAAAAATGAATGAGGCCAAGTTGGGCATGAAAGAATAAAGGGCAGCTGGTGACTCACTGGATGGCAGTGTCTTTTGTGTCAAGAATGCCAGTGCTTCTGCTCAAGTTGCAGCACCATACCACCCGTGAACAGCATAAACAATATTTAAAAAGAAGTGTGTATGGCTCTGGAACATTTCAGGACTTTTTCCGCTGTTGAAATACACAGCTGGGCTCATAAAGGTGACACCAAAAGTTTCGGTGTCCTGCTATATAGGAAAAAACCCTCATTGCGATTCCTGTATGTATTCTGTTGGAATGCGTTGCTCACAGTGGATCCAGCAGCTCTGGCCTCTTGCCAGCTACGTAGCATCAGGTAGTTTTTAAATGAAAACAATGCATCTTTTGGCTGATGTATGTTAGGAGCAGACGGATGTCTAACACTGTAGTCAAGGATACAAAACAAGGCACATGAAGCTGTAGTAGGAAAAGTACTTGGGTGCGTTGAGGGGTGTCATAAAGACTAGTGCAACTTGAGTGCACTGGTGTAAGCGGGGGGAGTAAGCGATGCTGAAAGACAAGACGACAGACAGGGAGCGAAAGCCCTGTCTTCTCTAGTCATAAAACCACACTGTCAGGTGTTTACATTCTGAATTTTTTTGTTGATTTCTGTGACGTGTGTTTCTGTAGCAGATGCAGCGTGTGTTCCTGCCTTGGATGTCATGTCTGTTTCTGCAGAAAAAGCTGGGTCCGTTCTTGCAGGAGACACCAAGCCTCCTCAAACTCTGGATGCTGGGTTTGCACCTACAGCAGAAGCCAACCCTCTTCAGGCTATGGATGTTGGGTTTGCTCCTGCGCCACAAGCCAAGCCTCCTAATGCTATCAATGATGCATCCGCCCCAGTGGCAGATACTGGCTTCACCCCGGCAGCAGATGCTATTTCCCCCTATGCTACGGATTTGGAGTTTGCCCCAGAAGAAGACGCAGGGTTTGCCCCAGCAGCAGATGCAGAATCTCACCATGCTATGGACTTTGCATTTGCCCCAGCAGCAGATGCGGAATCTCACCATGGTATGGATTTGGCATTTGCCCCAGCAGCAGATACTAAATCTCATCATGCTATGGATTTCGCATTTGCCCCAGCAGCAGATGCGGAATCTCACCATGCTATGGATTTGGCGTTTGCCCCAGCAGCAGATATTAAATCACATCACGCTATGGATTCTGAGTTTGCACCAGCAGCAGATGCAGAGTTTGCCCCTGCAGCAGAAGTCAACCATCGTCATGCTATGGATTCTGGGTTTGCTCCTGTAGCAGAAGCCAAGCCTCTTCCTGCCATGGATTCTGGGTTTGCCTCTGCAGAAGCTAAGTCTGTCTCTGTAGCTGACACCAAGGTTGCTGCATCTGAAGAGCTGATGACATCTGAGTCTTCTCTTGAGCAAGACAAGTCACCCTTCGACAAACCTCTTGCAGGTGAGCATGTATGCCTGGAAGCTTCGTTCAGGCTTGAAACAGCATGGAAAGTGGTGTGAGAAGGCCACTCTAAGTTGGCATAGCACTAGCAGCAACAGTCCTGGTAGCACATAGCGATGGCTACATGGATGCACAATTGTCGTAAGACTGTCAAATAAAACGCATATTTTTTTAGTAGTTAAGATGATGATATGCCTTGCACAAAACATCTTAAGCAGAGCTCAGTTCTGCTGTCAAGATACAGACAGAGGAAGTGCTTCACAAGGATTTTTCGCTTATAAAATATAAACCTAGAATATCTTGATGTTTGGGGTTTTTTTTACTTGGCATTCTTAGTAGTGATGTATGGGGTTTTTTTTAGGACAGCCATAGAGACATTTTAGTTAATCCCTGTTAGTACTTACTTTTGTATCACTATCGTCCTCAGCATATACTGAAATCTCTGCAAATCCTGTAGGACACAGTGTTTTCAAACAAAACTTCTTATCTTGAAAATAGTTTCTGAATAGACTGATAGGGTTTGTTGATAATTTGGTGACATTTCTTTGGAATGCCTATAGGCGTCGAAATGGCGAGGCAGGCATTTTGGTTTTTTCCATGTGGTGGACAATGGATTTTCTGTGCTGCATAGATTTCTCAAAGGACTCTGTACCTTCAGAGAGAAAATGACCGTCAAAATATAACAAATAGTACTGGGCAGAGGCAGTGTATGTGGATTGATTGCAGAAAGAGTTGGAGTGAGATATTTTCTTTCCTTTCTTACTTTCTAATACTCTCTAGTTTAATGATAGGAATAAATTTCAAAAGAGACGTTTCAACAAAAAAAAAATCCCTACTAGAATATAGTAACTGAGGTATAGGTGCGTGAATGAAAGAGTAAATACCAGACAATACAGGAAGACTTGCTTTAGCAGAACACTTAGGGTTTCAGGAGGGGAGAGCTGCTAGAAAGTGAGCTTAAAAAGCAGATTACCACTGTTTTGAAAGTGAGGAAAACCTTTAGTTTCTTGTGGAAGATAGGTGAGGAAGTGTGTTGTTTGTTTTTTTTTTTTAATCTTGCCTAATCTGATCTAAATTAAAAACAATATGGATTTTTATTCTTTACATTCTGTTTGCAGAAGCAACTGTAAACGTGGAACAAGAATCAAAAGTCCCAGAAGCTTGTGTTGATCTTCTAGAGAAAGCTAAAGACAGCAGACCACCGCCCAGCCACCATGAAGAGCATCTTCCAGAACAGACTAACCATCTTTCAGAACCAGCAGGTGAGAAACGCAAACCACAGTATAAAACTGGAGCCAGCACGTTGCTATCAGCTAATTCTGCCCCGCCACCTAAGTTCTTTCTCACGGACACCATTCTCCTGTCCTTATCAAGGAAAAAGCAACAAAGGTTTAATTTCAAGAAGGTTATTAGTGTGTGCTGACATGGGGACTGTTATAAATAGATGGTAGTCTTAACATTTGAAATTACCATCATATGACTTGTCTTTTTCTTCCTCGTCCATAGTTGTTGTACCAATGTCTGTCATAATTTTTATTTCTATTTAAAACTTAAATAAAATTAGTTACATATAGAACTGTTCTCCGGTGTAATTATGTCTTACAAATTAAAACTTGTTATAATTATGTATAGCTAGGAATTTTGTAGTGTCTGCATGAATATATTCTAAGGTATATATGAATACTAGATGATTAGCATTACATAGGGACTCCAGGCTGGAGTATATTCTGGATTTTAATTCCAGTGGGAAGCTGGTATAGTCTGAATTAATTTGATTACGAAGAGGAAAAAAAGAGACCCCAAACCCTTACCCTGTGCTTAAGTCCCAAGACAGTCTTTGTTTCATGTTTTACCTCCACCTTGGCATGTCTGCCAAAATATAAAATTGCTGCTTAAAATGGGATTGTGAGGAGATAATACATAGTAACTACCATATCTTATAAACTTCATTCCTATTAAAAATAAAATAAAACCTGTACCCTTTCCAAGGGCTTGCTTTTAAACTGCAGGTTGCCTGTATTCATAAGGATTGAAGCATTCTATTCATGTTTTTCATATTTCAGCTCCAGTAGAAGCAAAAGAAGCCGTTGCACTAGAAAATAAAGACCTCCTTCAAGAAAAATCTGTTACTACTGTGGATGTTATTGTTACAGAGAAACAAAAGGAGGAGGCTGAACACAACCATGTCCAACAAGCAGAATCTCAGCAAGAAAAAACCCTGCAAGAGCCCACAGGTAGAATATAAATAATTCAATTTTAGAATGGAAATATCCTCTGTGAACTATTCACCTTTTCCTACTGACTGCGTTGCCACTTGAGCAAGCAGAAGTCTTTTTTGCACCAAGCAGCTGTGCGGTTCTTTGCATTCATCGGTGATTCTGGTTGCATTTTGCCTCTAATCCCTGCCCTCTTAAATACTCTTTTCCCCTCCATGTTCACCGGACTAAAAGCCCAAATACGGGTGCTACTAGTACTTTATCACTGGGACTGACTTATATCTTTTCTGCTGTAGAATTTAAAAGCTCACCATCTTTTTGCCATTACAGCTAGCTTTTTATTTTGGTATTAAAAAGGATCATTAATTCTTATTACAATACTCCTAGTAAAGACCTCCTTCCAAATTGGGTTTTGTAATTACCAAAGGAAAATGTAATTTTTTTCCTGCTCTGCTAACCCAGCCTCTCCAATGAGTTGTTACTGCTTCCACTTGTGACTGGAGGCTGATTTGTGGGCCAGGGCACTGACAAATGACTGATGCTCTCTTTAAAATCAGTGGCTTGTAGCTAAGGAAACCTAGCGCTGCCTATAACGGAGTACAGCAAATGACTTCTGTTACGGAGGTTCTGCCTTCCCCTGCTTCCACCGTGGGCGCTGTGGGAAACTCAGCTCTTTTGCTCCCCCTTCCCCATTATGCCCCTTCTCTCTTTCCTAGTCTCGTCTTTCCGCTAAAATTCTATTTTCACATTTTGGAAGGATGCCAGCTAGAGATATAAAAAGTAGATCTGTTATCTTGTCTTGCTAAGACAAAATGGATCCTTAATGCATTTTAAAAAAGCGATAGCATGTCCTTACAAGAACTGTTGCTTTTTGGTGGGGTAAGAGCATGTATCAGGAATTATGTATTTTTAAATAGCATTGACGTATTTATCAGTAGTAGTTTAAATAGGTTTTGCGTGTAAATGTCTATCCCAGCCCTACTGAGGTGGCTTTAGAATTAGTGTGGTATCAGTGTTGGAAAATTCTGCATATATGACTGTATGGACTGTTTTAGATGGCTAAAATCACATATATACTACAGTTATTTTTTTATAAAGCAAATAGTCGCTTTGATGTTTGAGCAGGCTTCCTGTATTCCAGGTCTACCTACTGCACAAATAAGGCAAGCTAACAAATCAAGTGAACGCAGGTTTGGCAGAGCAAAACCTGCACCAGTGCCTATTACAGATGTACCAGAGGAACGTCTAATAATTAGTCTCCCGCAACAGAAGAGTACTGACCCAAAAGTAGACCCCTGTTCTGTAGTGGAACTTGGATGTGTTGCTGGAACATCCCCTCGCACTAGGGTTTCACATAAAAAGGCAACTGAGCAGCCATCCAATGTGCTGTCGGAGTTTGTGGAGAGCTGCAGAGATGTACCAAGGGAGAGCTGGCATTTGGAAGGTTCTCTGGCCATTGTGAAGAAAAAGAAAAAGAAACCAAAACAAAAGAGAAACCAGCTGCCAAGAACAATGGAGTTCTGGGATGAAAATGTAACAGTCTCAAAAGCTCCTAGAAATTCTCCATTTGCTGTTGAATTGCAAAAAACAGATGTCTGTCCCGTAATGCCTGCTGAAGCTCGCAAAGAGCAGTCAATTGCCTCAGGGAAGGGAAGCAGAGTTTCGCATATGCCAAAGGATGCTAAAATAATAACTGGAAGTCATATCCTGGATGAGCAAAATGCCTTCTCAGTGCCAGCACCAGGACAGCAGGCCCAAAAGCCCAGCATACCGTTAGAATCTGTGTTGGATGCAAAAAATGGGGACGTTGGTAAAACAGAAGGAATGAGAGGTGACAGCTTGATGTTGCAATCTAAAGGCAAAAGAAAAGAGGTTCCCTTGCAGCAGGTAGGCAAGACTAAGGTGGGGGAATCTGTTACAGCAAAGGTGCCAACCAAGCCTACGGAAAGAGATTTTCTTGATAAAAATGAGAAGAGGGAGTATAAGGAGTCAAAATGTGCTGACCTGCCGCCACCTCTTTCAGAAGCGATCAATCTAAGCAAAGTAGAAGCTGCTTTAGAGACCAAACCTTCGGAATTGCTCCTTTCTGATAAAGATACGGAGGCTAAACACACATCTCCCAGGTGTGAAGCATTCAGTTACACTGTCCACCATGAGCTTCAGGGTTCCAGTGGGTCACTGGAAGAAGCAGCAAAGAAAAGAGGTAGTTGTGAAAAAAGCAAAGGGGTTGAAAATGAATCCCTCAAACAGCCTGCTCTTCTAGAGGCTGCGGCCCCGTCGGACAAGCTTCCTAACGAGCCAAAGGCAGCTGATGAAACTAAAACAGTGTCCTCTGATAAGCGCATGGCTGTTGACTTTAGTAATGCAGAGGGGGTATTGAAGACTCCAACAGATACTACTAAAACACCTATTACACCATTAGTTTTACCAAAACCTGAGGAAGTTACTGCTTTGCAAAACAGAAAGGCTGACGGTTTTTCAGAGCAGCCATTTCTTCTGTCAGTTAAGTCTGATGCAACCAAACATCCCGCCTCTGCTGAAGCAGTGGACAGAGTGATGGTAGCAGATTCCCTTGATAAAAACAAAGGGAAAGGATTTATTACGGTAGAGCAGCAGACTGGAAAAGATCCCAATATTGCACATGGGATGGACAGACCTAAAAAAAAGCGTGGTGAAGGGAAAGTAAAAAAAATCAAAAGCTTCTCTGAGCAGATGATGCTTTCGGAGGACGTAAGCAAACTCACTGATGGAGTGAGGACAGATGAGACTACAAAAGAAACAACTTTCCCTGATAACCGCAGAGGTTTTAATGCAAGAGGACCTCTGTCTGTAAGCATTACACATGCTTATCCTGCAGACAAGCCAAAAAAAAGAGGTAGTGATGGAAGAGGTAAAAAAGGTGAAAGAAGTTTTTTCCAGCAGCCTTTTCTTGAGAATAAGATGGACCCAAGTAGTTTTCCTGACATAATTGATAAAACTAAGGAAGTGAGTGATAAAGGCAGAGAGAGGGGCTGTATTACTGCTGAGTGTTTTCAGGAGAATACATCAAATGTAACTAAAAGGCAAAGGTCAATTGAACTGGTAACAGAGAAGCCTAAAGAAAGTGTTGGGAAAAATGAAATAGCTGATGTGGGTGCTTTAGAC